TCTCATGTTTTACGCAAATAAATAAAGCATATATAAATTAATAAAATACAATTATTTAGTTTTTTAAATAGCTTTAAAATTGGTGAAAAATAAGCATTTTTTTTCGTTTTTTGTCTATAAACATATGCCCCCCCCCCCCCCCCCCCCGTGAAACACAAAAAGCTTTGGCATAAATTTGTAAAATGACAGTCCATATTATCTGTAAAAAGGAATTTTTGTTTCACGGGGGAGGGGGGAGTTGTTTTAAAAATATTTTCAGTTTTCCGTTGATTTCTATAGTGGAAAACACAAGTTTTGCCGAAATTATAGAGTTATCTCTCTTTGGTATCCCAAATAAGTAAGGTTTTATGAAAATTCATATAAATATGTATAAAAATTTTGAGAATCATTCCAAGATGTTAACTTTTGAGAATTGACTTAGAGATAGGCGGAAGAATAATACTATCGTTCATAGTTCTTTACGACCTTGAATGTTGACCTTTTGACCCCAAATTCAAAAGGGGTCTTCCTAAGGCCACAGGGATTCTGTTATGTTAAATTTCATTGCAAAAGCCCAAAGGCTTGTCGAGATATCGTGTGGAAACGAAAGCGTTACAGAAAGACGGATGGACGGACAGCTAGACGGACGGACGGACCCAAATTAATATCCCCCACTTTTCAAGCGGGGGACAAAAAGTATCAAATCAGGTTCAAATGATAAGTTATCATACTTAAGATTTGTAGGAATATTGACTAAGCCATGCAGAATTTTTTTTTCAAAGTGCGTTAATATGGTCCATATTAACGCACTTTGAAAAAAAAAGTTTTTTTTCAAAGTGCGTTAACCTGGTCCCAAAAATTAACGCACTTTGAAAAATTTTTTCAAAGTGCGTAATTTTTTCAAAGTGCGTTGCCACAGCGGGCTCTTCTCATTAAATTTTCATTGAAAATCGTGGCATTTTAAAGCTGAAAAAATAATCTTAACTTTCCTTATTTGACAATCTACTGTTTGGAATTCAATTCTTGGCAATACGTTGTACTTTCGGCATAAAATTGTTCATATCATTCGATTGTCACTACTCGTCTACTGTAAACAATGGCATGTGCCCCGGTAATCTCGTGAGATTTGAGCTTTCTCGATTCCCCCGCAAAAGAGCGGTAGTAAGTTAGATAACTGCGAGGTTATCGCGATATTACGTAATACCTTTCTTCAAATCATTTGTGGATATGTCTTAATTGAACCTATCTTCAAATCAGTACAGTACCTATCTTTAAATCAATTATACCTATCTTCAAATGAATTAGAGATAGGTATAATTCAATTAAACCTATCTTTAATTGAAATGAAGATAGGTGTAATTCCATTAAAAAAAGGTATAATTCATTTGAACATAGGTATGATTATTTAAAGATAGGTATAATTATTCATGAATACCTATCTTTAATTTAATTGTACCTATCTTCAAATCATTTGAAAATAGGTACAATTATTTGAATATAGGTGCAATTATTTGAAGATAGGTACAAATATTTGAATATATGTTAATTTGGCGTTCCATACAAGACGGAACATCCCCTAGCAAAGAGCATAATTATCTAGAAATCAAGGCAGTATTCCCCACAATCTGTCTTTCGAACGATAAAATAGGTAGTGAATATTCCTTTCCCAACACTAGTACTTGTATCAAAAGTGAAAACCAAGGGGTTTCGGATGAGACTTTGTAAACCGAGGTCCTATGCCAAGACTTATGTTAGTATACTACAGAACCCTCTCTGCTCAGTGACCCTAAGTGCCAAGTGTAGAACTAAATTTGAGGCCATTTATCGAAATTATTTAACTCATTTTACCAAGTAATAGTATTACTTCTCAGAAAAAATACATAAACGTGATGACTAACTTTTCAATCGTCAACGTCCCTTACATGATATGCAGCAAAACCTTTATCAACAGCTCTCAGTTGATTCGATACGAAAGAGCATGCTCTACGTATAAACAATTTCTAAAACGAGTTACTTGTATATTACATGTTTTAAAAACAAGTTAATGAAAAAGAGTATCTGCAGTCTCATGTAAAGTCTCCATTTTGTAAGTTTTATGGTCTACACATTGACCTTTTCAGCAAAGACATTTTATCATTGTAAGTCGATTGCTGACTGACGTTTTTCATACTACCGTAATTGTTAAACCATAATTTACAAAATGAACTGTCGACGGATTTTTCCAGTATTTCCTGACCATGACGAAGAGAAAACGACAGGTGTGACTGGTTGGCAGGGAATGCTTACTCCTCCATGGCACCTGATTCCACCTTTGATTTTTTGGACGTCCGTGTTTGCTCTACTCTAATTTTGTATTGTTTAATAATTTTTTGATCTCGAATACTAGTAGTTCGTTATCTTCATATAGTTCATACAGATTGAGATAAGACCAAAGTTTTGGCATGCATATCGAGTTCTAAAGTACGAAGGATATCGATATCGATCAATGTTTTTTTTTAATGGAGGTACCCAGAGCAAGCATAGTATGTATTTTTCTCTTTTTTCCCTGATAACTGTTCCATAAATATATAGAATCAGAGAAAATTCAATCTAAATGTTGTTATCATTTAGTAGTAGTTATCATTTTATTGAATCATGTACGTATTAATTAGATACAGGAGATAAATCAAATTTTAACTGGTTCTAGATATCTTTTTGTTTATGATTTTATATGCTTCGGTTTGCAGAAACAGCGCTTGTACTTATTTTGTACAAATTTTTGCTTTGTTTACATGTACATGTATAAACATAGTGTTGAGGAAAAGATTTGACATGATGAATTAAATACCGTGTGTTCACATGCTCTCTGTTTGTGTTAACATTTAGCTATTTGTTTACAGATCATAAGAAAGTTACGTAATCTTATCTTTTGATTTTTAAAGACCATATGCTACCAAAGCTGAAATTTTATATTTGAGAGCCATTCTCTGTAATGACTTGAAATTTTATATAGGAGCTGTGGCACGCATAATCTCAAAATTTCTCCAAACTCTATATGATAAAAGTCTTTGATACCCTTAACTGAAATTAGGCAAAAATTGTTTGCTATGTGTTACAGTTACCATGGCAACATGTCTTAACGTTTAAAAAATTGCATTTTAAACATGTTTAGAGTCCCATAGTTAGCATTTGCGGCAAGCAAACAATTGGCAATGACTTTTTCAAAAAGTTGAAGGGCTGATATCTTACATACACGATAAACATGTTTGGTAAACCAACTTTTATATACGTTACTATGGGATCAAAGTATTTATAAGTAAAAAAAAAATCATTCATTGAATTTTATAAAGTCATACACGTAAAAATAGAAATTTTAAAAAAAAACCAAACAAACAAAAGCAAAATGTGTTTGTAAAATACTGATGCCCCCGTATGGCAAAATAGTGAATATTAAACAATTAAATAAGTTGGTACCCAAAGTAAAGTCTATCGCAAGAAATACAATTGTGAAATATGAATGCCCTTGCACCACCTGTTCAAAAGTTATTGCCAAAGTTAAAGTTTTTAAAAAGTGGGTCATACTCCCATGTCAAGGTCAAAGGGTCAAAGTTGTTCGTATCCAATGAAACTTCTTGTCACAAGGATTAAATATGTGAAGTATGAAAGCTCTAGCCCTAACCCTTAAAAAATTATGGTCAATATTTGTTTTTATAAAGTACATAATATATACAAAGATTGCCATGGTTTAAATTCCACATGGAGCCTTGAAAGTTACACTCTGTATTTGTCTCCTGCTGTACAGAAACAATGAGGGCATAAATTAATCTCAAATTTAGTCATTTGTTCATTTCAGTGCTTGCATAATATTGGTAGTTCGGCAAAATAAAAGCGATATAGAGTGGGAAAAAATATATCATAAATGATAAATATGAAACAGAAATATCGGAGGTGAAATCAATATATAGTATACTAGAAATAATTATTTATCAATGCATATTTAATGTTCAATATTCAATGTTGAATTATTGAAAGTTGTGAAGTAAGTTTGAATGACAAACCCAGGATGGTGCAGTAGATTAAGAATTATTTTCAATTAAAGGGTTAATGTATCTTAGCCCTGCTGTTTAACCTTTGAAATCTCTCTAGAATCATGCCAGACGATTGAACAAATAAGAAGAAGATGACAAGAATGGACAAATATTACCAGATAGTTGCTGAAATTTCGTGTTGCACGGTTGGGAGGGAATTTGAATACAACCGATTTTCCCAGTCTTTTGATTAGTCAAAAATGAGATAAAGTAGAGAAATAATATACTCAACATGAACTGGTCCCTTCTGACAAAGGGGGTAACAACTTAAGTCTTTTTTTGTGTGGTTAATATTAACAACTATAGGAACTACGACTTGAAAATTCAATTGTCAATCTTACTTATGCTCATAATAAATACCTTTTCTAAGGAGGACAATCTTAAAAAGCAATATACATGTACTGTAAGTATTATGTAAATCAAATTGAACAGCTAACATTTCATTTTATTAATCAATATTTTGAATGATCTGTAATTTATCATGGCAGTGTAAGACGTTGCAAATAGGATTATGGTGGATAGTTTGTTATTGTTCAATGGTAAGAATTTGCCTCATACTATCTGATAAACTTGTGAAATTATGGATGTGTAGATGTACCTGTATTTTATGCATATATTCTCAATTTCTTGTTTTAGAGTTTAATTGCAGCCATATATTGTCCAGCATCTATTAACACAGTAGTAAATGTAATAAGATGTCCGAGAACAAGTTTGGAATGGAAGTCTGCATCAGTTAATAAAAGCTGTACAAGCGAGATACAAAGTTGTGTAGGCCAAACAGACTTTGTATACCATTGTGTCATAAATACATACCTCAACGCCACAGTCGAGGTTTGTGCACCCTCTACAAACATCTTAGGTAAGTTTTTTGTGTAATATTTTGTTTGTTTTTGATTGTTTGTTTGTTTGGTCTTTGTATAAGTTGTTTTACACCATTACATGTATTATCATTAGGAAATACTTGTGCTGAGTTCAACATGGAAGGAGCCAGGATACAGGGACATGTTGACACAGTATGTACGTCCTGTCCTTTCAGATATCCATCAACAGATGCATACAAATGTACGTAAAAGAATCTGGGATTATTTTTATGTTCTTTGTTTAAAATATTTTACCGCAATAATTCAGTAAAAATTAAGATAGCTATACTCCGACCCATTTTATTTTTTTTTTAATTTAAGTGAATTATTTGTACCCTACCTAGATTCCTACCTTCTAAGGTTATAGTGTCGAAAGAGTCCAGCAAATGCTCTACCAAGAAACATTGTTTTTTAATTAAAAATTTTCATTTTTGTAAAAGAAGAGCTTCAAATTTTTGTGCTTCAATATATATGAGAAGTGGTGAAAGACTTAGAAAACACAAACAAATTATCAAATGTCATTTACATAAATCACATGACTTGTCTGTATTGAATGCAATCATTCCTTAAAATAAAATAAAAAGTTGTCTTTTTATGATGTCATAGATAACTGTTTCTTTAATAAAATGGAACTTATCAAATGGCATGATTTTAACTTCAAACAAGTCGTGGTTAGAGCTTCTGCTCGAGAGTCGCGAAGTAATGAGTTGATCTTACGTCGCGGGTTCGAATCACACTGTGGGACATGGAGACCGGTCCCCCGGATGAGACCGTATAATCCGAGGTCCCGTGTCGCAGTAGATGCTGGCATGAAAAAGATCTCTCACTGCTTCAAATGGCCCTAAGTGCCGAGTATAGGTCAAAATTTGTAGCTCTCCACCGGAATATGGTGGGGTCTCCATATGTACGAAAATTTATCGAGAGTGACGTTAAACAACACACAATCAAACTTACTTTAAAGAAAAGGCACTCTGCTTCTACACAGAAGTACTCTGAAGTTGATATTAAAGGCTTAATGGAGTTTCTCATTGACATCCTCTTTGTAATCGGTTTTCTCGAGGATACATTCTGATGGGATTCCGATGATGGGATGACAAACAGTGCTCTAATATTCGCAGACCTTAATTCATGCAAAGCAGAATTTAATGAACAAAAATTGATGAAGAAAACACTTTCTACTTTGCCTTTTATCAATATATATTTTTGTTTTACTGGCTACAGACAATAAGGACCAATTAACAGCTAATTTGTATGACAAACTAAGTGAATACCGATACCCAATTGTCAACTCTCATTACTTATGTTGTAATATTCTTTTGATGCTGTAATATTCAATTGCATATTTTTCTTTGAATTGATGTATTTTGATATAATGTATATTAAAACTCAAATGTCACATGTCTATCATTAATACTAGTATACACACAAAAGAGTTATAATTGTTTTTCACAAAATAGATTTATAAAAATTAAAAGAAAAATATAAAATAAAATAAAGAATAATTTTCAAGGAGATTTTAACTCTCTTTTTTTATTTTCTTTAGTCCAGAGCTGCTACAATTTAATCAAGAGAGTCCAACTTCCAACAACTGCGGAGAAAATACTTTCAACTTTACCATCCTTACAAAATACAACATTACCATCCTTACAAAATACAACTTTACCATCCTTACAAAATACAACCTTCACAATGAGTCCTGTGTAATGTATTAATAAACTAAATTTTTCTAAAACTGCATATCTCAGTTCAGAAATATCTATGGCAAGCGCTTTTGCTATTTATTTGGAAAATAAAATTTATCTTAAAATTACAGAGTTATCTTTCATTTAAGAGAGATATCTCTTAAAAATAGAGATATCTTCCAAATTAAAGAGATATCTCACTTTTAAGAGATATCTCTTTAAGAAAGAGATATCTCTTGAACTGAGAGATATCTCTTTTTATTAGAGATATATCTCTTTGACTTGAACTATATTCCTATCTCCTTGAGAGATATCTCTTTCGTGAAAAAGATATCTCTAAACGTTAAAGAGATATCTCTTTCACCTAGAGAGATATCTCTTTAACTTTTGGAGATATCTTTTCGGGTTAAAGAGATATCTCTTAAAGTAAAAGAGATATTTCTCTTAGTGTATCTTATGAGATATCTCTTAAAGTAATAGAGATATCTTTCAAGAGTGTCTAAAAGAGATATCTCTCAAGCAAAAAGAGATATCTCTTTATTGCAAAAAGATATCTCTTTTCATTATTTTTATTTAAATTCCATTTAAAATGACTTCTCCCTTTACCGGAAGTAAGCTTTTTATTGACGGATTTACATTATAAAAGTATTTTTAGATTCGATATATTCATGATATTCTACATTGTACTTTACTAAAAATCACAAGTAATTCAATTTTGTCTAGATTTCAGATTAGAAATTGTTGATTAATTCATAAGCTGAGAAAATTCGGTCCATTGCATTTGAGATTATTTATATTATGCTTATTTTCGTTTTCCTGAATATTAAACTTTTAGCATTTTTATCAAGGAAGTTGCCATTATCATTAATTGTTTCAAATAAGGGATTTATAGCATATTCTTGTCTACACTGTGTCACAGTACATATATTATTCTGGGTAATTGCTTGCTCAGCCTTTTTCTTATAACATCGAACCTATTAAATAAAGACTTTATTTCCTGTTTCGCTTTCGTTTTAAAGTGGAGAATTAATTATTCTATTTTAAGGATAACTGGAAAAGAGATATCTCTTTCATTAAAAAAGATATCTCTTAAGCTTTATATCTTTTTTGAAAATCTAACGAGATATCTCTAACTTAGAAAGATATCTCTTTTTACCTTGTTAAAGAGATATCTCTATAATTTTAAGAGATATCTCTCTAGCTTATAAAATTATCTCTCTAAGTAAATAAGATATCTCTCTTACATAAAGAGATCTCTTTTGTTTAAAAGAGATATCTCTCTAAGGTATAAAGATATCTATTTTAGTCAAAGAGATATCTCTATAAGCTAAAGAGATATCTCTCTATGCTAGAGAGATATCTATCTATGCTAGAGAGATATCTCTCTTATTGAAAGATTTTTTTTCACGAATAAAGAGTAAAAGGGCTTGCCATAAATATCTATAAAAGTAATGCAAAGATGCACGTTTTCTCGTTTCAGTAAATCGAAGGATAACATTGTTTTTATAACGATCATAGTCGTTGGCATAGTGGTTGTCATTCCTGCAGTGATTTGTGTTGTGTGTTATTTTGGAAGAAAGAAATGTCAAAGAACCCTTAGAGGTAGGTACTGTGAAATGATTCGTTAGGCCTAAAAATTGATATTATCTTCTTTCATTCATTTTATATTTAAGTAAAAAACATTTTAAAAAAGTACATTTGTTATACAAAAGGTTGAAGGATTATAGACAGATTTCATTTTTTTTTTTTTTGAATACATGTATTATGATATGAAAAACAGTTTCTAAAGCAGTAAATCAATTACTAGTATCCTGAAGACTCTTTTACAAACCCTTAATACTGTGTAGGTACTGTGAAATTATAAGTTTTGATTAAAAATTTATATCTTCTTTCATTCAAATAAAATAATATCAATAATTTTTTATTTCAGTAGAAAGCATTTTTTTAAATTATATTTGTCATACAAAAGGTTGAATGATAATAGACAATTTTCCTTTTTTTTAAATATTTCTTAATTTAATAATTCTTAATTTAATAATTTTTTAAAGATGGATTATGATACGGAAAACAGTTTCTATAGCAGTAAATCAATTACAGTATCCCGAACCCTTAACATGCTTAATACTATGTACCTTGTCTGTGTGGATTCGTTAGGCATCTCTAAGATCGTTTTCTAAGCGTTTAAGACGGTTTGAATATTTTAAGTCTTTGTTTGATCTTTGAATTTATTCGAAATTCATTTCTAGATCAAGAAGGCAGGTCAAGTGCATTAAGTCCATTAAAATCTGAGGAAAAAATTACCGGTAAGAAAAAATTCAAAATTCTCATTGAATATTAAAAGGGTGTACTGTAATAAATTCAAAAGATGTATATCTTACAGGAAAAAACTAATTTACTAAGCAACATAACGACAATTCCTCGGAATATACTAGTATATTAAAAAAATTAAGTATTTGCTTCAAATACTCTCTATATGAAGATGTTATAATAATCATGATAATACTAATCATTGAATTTGCCTAGCTTATACAAATGATATTCTTTTAATGAGCCATTGTTTGTTTTAAATTATTTTAAATAAAACTGTAAGCATCAAAAGTAAGGTTTATCAATTTTTTCCTCCGTTTCGATTAAAAATGCACTGGGGAAGAAGACACAAACAGAAAGTTTACGGTTGCTCTTGAGATAGGACAACACTTTTCTGGATACGGTTATTCTTCGAAACATGATAAAACACCAAGAATTCCAGTAGATAGTTCAGGCAAGGCAAAGAAAATCCCGTCTGCGGTCTGGTATAGCAAGACAAAGGAAAAAATAAAGATAGGATATGATGCCCTAGATGAATACATTAATTGTGATGGAAATCCTCCAGAAGACATATATTACTCTGGTGATCTGGTTATTGATTACAATCAGGTGAGCTAAAGTTGACCATTACGATTTTACCCAGTCGTCTGATATACTTTTTTCTTTAAAATACAAAATTCAAAGTACTTCATCCAGAAATAAATGGGGAAATAAAATACGAGAGATAGATTTAAGATTCAACTAGCAAAAAACATATGTGCACATATGATTGAAAAAAAAGAAATTTAAAGGGATTGATGAATTACTATGCACACATCGGGACAGTTCTAGAAATTTAAGGACTTGAGAATTTCATTAAAATAGTGTTATTGTATTTACCTGTACTTGCATACGGAGTTTATATCTCTCAGTTGATTCGATATACGCAAGAATATGCTGTACGTATGTATAATATCTAAAACGAGATAAATTATTGACAAACAAGTTGATGAAACAAGAGTATCAGCAGTCTCGTTTAAGTCATCATTTTGTAAGTTCTTTGGTCGATACAATGCCCTTGTCAATAAATACAATTTATCACTGAGTCTAATGCTGACAGTTTTCATACTAATTGTTAGTCCATTATTTACACATTGAATTGACGACGGATTTTTCTGTTATTTCCCGATCATGACAAGGACCACACGGCGGTTGTGACCGGTCAACAGGGGATGCCCACTCCTCCGTGGCACCTGATCCCACCTCTGATGTTTTGGCGGTCCGTGTTTGCTCTGCTCCTTTTTAGCTCACCTGAGCCGAAGGCTCAAGTGAGCTTTTCTGATCAAAATTTGTCCGTTGTCTGTCGTTGTTGTCGTTGTCGTAGTCGTTGTAAACTTTTCACATTTTCATCTTCTTCTCAAGAACCACTGGGCCATTTTCAACCAAACTTGCCACAAAGTATCCTTGGAGAAAGGGGATTCAAGTTTGTTCAAATGAAGGGCCACGCCCTTTTCCAAGGGGAGATAATTATGAATTGGAGAAAAATTAATGGCATTTAAAAAAAATCTTCTTCTCAATAACCACTGGGCCAGGAAAGATGAAACTCATAAGGAATCATCCTCAGGTAGTGTAGATTCAAGTTTGTTCAAATCATGACCCCCGGGGCTAGGGTGGGGCCAAAATGGCCGACCAAAGTTTTACATAGGAATATATAGGAAAAATCTTTAAAAATCTTCTTCTCAAGAACCACTGGGCCAGGATAGATGAAACTCATGTGGAATCATCCTCAGGTAGTGTAGATTCAAGTTTGTTCAAATCATGACCCCCGGGGCTAGGGTGGGGCCAAAATGGCCGACCCAAGTTTTACATAGGAATATATAGGAAAAATCTTTAAAAATCTTCTTCTCAAGAACCACTGGGCCAGGAAAGATGAAACTCATGTGGAATCATCCTCAGGTAGTGTAGATTCTAGTTTGTTATAATGATGACCCCCGGGGTAAGGGTGGGGCCAATATGGCCGACCCAATTTTTACATAGGAATATATAGGGAAACCTTTTAAAATCTTCTTTTCAAGTACTTCAAAGCTATGATTAGTGTTATTTATATGGAATCATCCTCAGGTAGTGTAGATTCTAGTTTGTTCAAATGATGAACGCCTGGGGAGGGGGGGTTAAATTCAAGCCCGATGTGCTCAGGTGAGCGCTGTGGCCCCTGGGCCTCTTGTTTAAAGATACTTACAAATGAAGGAAGGTACTCCAATCCTCAGGTTCTGAAACGCAGGCATTGACTAATTGAACACCAAAATGTCTCTGAATCTCAAAAATGTGTGTTTTTATCCACAATAATTCTTTAAACTTCATATTTAAAGTTTATCATTTATAAAGAGAACATAAATCAATCTTGAATAAATTTCAGGAAATGCGAATAATTATACCTACTATACATTTTCCAATTAAAATCTGATCAACAAACACATTTTAGAAATAAAAATCATAGGTTTCCAGGTCATTGAAGAAATTTCATAATTTTTATACATATAATGTACTCTACCTTCTTCTATTTACATCGATCATTTTACAACGCATTTTGAATAAAGATTTTCCTATCATTTTAAAACACAATAAATAACTTTTTCTTACGTGTATTTCATTTCATTGTAGTAAACATTGATTTTTATAATTAGGTTAAAAGAACCTAAATTTCTTTAAATATGTAATTTTAAAATACGTTGATAGGGAAAATATTCCATTTTTTTTATAAGACCTTTCTGAGAACTTCAAAGAACCTAGAAGTACATAAGAGGTATAAACTGAAAATTATTGCATGGAAAGATTTATTTACAGCTTTGTTTTGAGACTTTTTCGTATAAATTAAAGAGTTATCCTTCCTTGCTGAGGATGGGAGTGCCTTAAAGATAAGTACACTTGATTTGAAGATAGTCACAACTGAAACAATCCACAGAAGAATTAAAAATAGGTACAATTCAATTGAAAATAATGAAACACCCCCCCCCCCCCTCACAGTGACTGAACTGTATAAAGTATTGTTATTGGGAGTAATTGTTGTCAGTATCTTAATAATTAAATATAGGTTCAATTCACTTGCACATTTTTTTTTAAATCAATTATACCTATCTTTAATTCATGGCATTTTTACCTATCAAATGAATTAAAGATAGGTATATATGAATAAAACATATCATTAATATATTTGAAGAATAAGGTACACTTGATTTGAAGATATATGTACACTTGATTTGAAGATGGGTACAATTCATTTGAAGATGGGTATAATTCATTTAAAGATAGGTACAAATATTTGAATATAATTATGTTAATTTGGCATTCCTTAATCTGGTGCATCAAAATTGTATTCATATTAATACATGTATATTGTACACAGATTATTAAATATTCTTCTTTTTTTATCGCTTTTGAAGAATATCTAAGTAATCCGTCTCAGTGTTTTAAAAGAAAAAAAAATATATAATTTTAGGGAAACAGACGTATGCAGCAGTATTCAAGGTTTCTTCTTGGTTTACTGAATGCTGTGTTACAGTTCATTAGCAAGGAGCACAAGAATCCAAACAAGGCGGATACTAATTTTGTTATAATTATCAAAAGATCTGGAGAAACTTCAAGGGAAAGCAGTGAATCTATAAAAAGATACGTAATAACAGGGATGACAGAGGTAAATACTAGTATCTTTGAAGTGAAATACACAGGCATTTTAAATTTCATAGTATCATATTTATTTCGTATATTATAGGAGAAAAATAAATACATTAATTTACTTGTATGCTATTGTAAGAAAAAAAATCAAAATTTTTGTCTGATTTGTAAATTTATTGTGCGCCTTTTAAACTTTTTTTCATAATTAGGCTGGTGTGATGGAGAATCAGATGAAATTTCTAATGGAATCAGAATGTGTATGTCGATATGTACAATCTCAAAACTCAGCTTCGCCATTTTTTAACGGCACATCACCTACAAATTTTTCTCTTGGAAGCAAACACAAAATCTTGATTTTGAAAACAGGACATGGTAATAAAATACATTGTATTTTTTTTTCTGGTTCAAATCTTAACGAAGTTTAATTTATCTCTAAAAGAATTGATTTTCAGTGAACGGGTGAGGCTGTGTCTGTGTGAGAAAAAAAAGGTGCATGTGCGAGAGTGTTAGAGGGTATAAACGTGTCTTTTACAACAATATATCACAAAAAATATTTTTTGTAGCTGGAATTCAGTATGATATTCTGGAGATGAATATTAAGGAACAGGAACTCAACCATCTTAATGAATTTTTTTTGGAGTGGAGTGGCAAAAATTCAGAAGAAAAATTTTTGGTCATGTTTGCAGATCAATTTAAAAATGTCAGCTTATTTGATCTGAAAAGGGACTACAGAGCAATTTGTAGCAAATTGTTAATTTACACAAGTTTAAGGAAAACCCAGGGGAGATAAAACATATAGACATTGAATTACCAGAGAAGCTAAGGACTGGTTTACGTCCAAAAGCTGAGTCGGTGCCGCCAGCTAAAGGGATTATGATATCAGAAAATAAGCTAACGATAGGTTCAGAGGTCATACAAGGTTTTATTGAAGACCTTTGTAAAAACACTAGAACGGTTCTCCATGCTACCTGTGAAGAGGATGGACTGAAAGAAGTCAGGTTTGTTTGTTTAATTGGAGTTTATGCATATAATGAACGCATTCAAACAACAGTCAGAGAACATTTTCAAAGAATATCAGAGATGATACATGTACATGTACCAAAGCAACCTGATTTTGCTGCTGTTAAAGGATCAATGTAGGATACTTTATTATGTGCTAAAGACATGTAACAGAAACAATGATTTATCAATTTTAGAGTTTTTTTTGAACAGAAACTGTCCAGACTCTAAAATTGTTATGATTAGTGAACTTAGCCACCGACGCATGTTTTCGCTTCATGTTAATCACTCAATCATATCCAGAACTCTTTCGTATGTTTGGTTTGGCCAATGAGTAGATACAGGAGTCATCCAATTCCTCAGCCTGATCCATAGAATCCATAGATTCATGGACAATGTCTGGATTCTGTAGCTCGTAGTCTGCATTATCATCAACGTTGATATTCATAAAGTCTTCGGGAAAATACTGGCTTCTTTTTCTGTTAGATTCAACGTGAAATTGGAAAGAGAGTCGATTTTCTGCTGCATTGATTTGAATTTCTGCCTGACTGGGGTCAGGTAAATAGAATCTTTCTCTCAGCTGTTCACTAGAGTGGATGTCTCCATCTTTGTTAGAAATGCTTGCCCTGAAAGTGCAGTACTTCCTGGTTGTTCCGTAAAGTTTTGTGAGGAATATCAATACTTCCTTTATTAGCAATGTGATGCTAATGAAAAGAATAGCGACTAAAATACTAGAATCTTCTTTATTGTCCAATAGTCTTTTTAACTCTGGTTTCAAAAGAAAAAATACAATGTACATGTATTATCAATGGATATGTACAGGTATCTTGTTAAACATTATTCTACCACGATTAATGCCGAGATCAAAGAAATGCCGCGGACATTATTCTCCAACAAATCACGAACGTCATCAAAAAATTATCAGATCAAAAACACGTATCAAACCTGAACGATTCAAATGCATGTTTGGCTATAGAATGAAATACTTGTTTAGACCACATCGATGTGTCGTCTTTTGCAGTATAAACATTGTAAATTGCATAAAGTTGCTGATGATGTCAGTTTTTATAGCCAAGAAGTCTATTCCATGGACCTACCTACACATTTAAACAACTTGATTTTAGTCCCAATAAAGCAGGAACATGATTTTATTATTGTATATTCATTAAAATTAGTCAATATATATTACGAACAAATTTGTAATTTAAAAATGTTATTTTTAATGTAACGAAAGCTCAAATCATCTGCATTCCATACACAGGTAAGCAAACAAATTTCCCCTCTTGTTAAATGGAACAGCGTAATCGAGACATGGTGACCTAATTCGTTTCTCTGTAGAGGAAACGATCAGCCGCATGATAGCAATCTTGGTAGAATAGAAATAAAGTCCTAGTTGTCGTGAAGGATGCAGGATAACCTCCTCGGTCTCGAAATGTTGTTTGAAATACAAAAGCCTCGGCTAACGCCTCTTTCAAGCAACATATCTCGACCTCGAAGGTTATCCTGCAACATTCACGAAAACGCGGACTTTATTTCATGAATAGAAAGAGGAAATGGAAATGGTTGTTTCTATTATAGGTCCTTACTATTTTAGGATCTTTATGTAGAAATATTTACTTGTTTTTTTTTTAATTCAAAGCACAAAGTAAATATTTTTTTTCTAGTTTAATTCATCCATTTTTATTTAAAGCGAATGAAACTCTCACCAGACGAACAGTTGCAATTTCCACTGTTGTTACTTTGGCATTGTATAGATGAAGTGCTCATACTGCAAAATACTGTGTGTGATAAATAACTGAAGTAATGCTAAGAGGGGGTAACATTATTAACGATAAACAAATTTAAATTCAAATTGCTAAAAAATATCATAAATAAATGGAAATATTAAGTTTTTGTTCTAGTGTATGCATATATGTAATTTTTGAAAACATATCAATCTCGTGATCTTAAACGAAAATGATGACATTACAGCTGTATAATAGAAAACAGGCCTGCAATTAAGAATTGAGAAAGAGTAAGAACGAATTCTTTTTTCTAAATTTTTGAAATCAAAATATATTGGTATAGTATACATTGTATAACTATGGGATAGTATTGGGGCCCTCCCCCACTTTTCTCCAAACTTAACATTTTACTCTTCAAAAGTGCATTCTTCAAAAAAAAAAAAGACCTCTTTTGTTGCAGCATAGGTACTGAGTAATCATGGTGATTTGGTAATGTATTGATAAGATTTCGTTTTGGAAGGAAGAAGGAACATTGGAACATACTTTTCCCCACCCTATCCACAAAAAATAAGAATTTCAAAGTTTTTTTTTCGTTTTAGATTGTAATTGCCCTACCCCTTACCACTTTCAAAAACGATGAATTTTAACATGTTAAACAGAATTTTAACATGTTAAACAGATTTTGTAATGAAAAACTGTAAATATTAAAGCTTTCATTTCCTATACTCTTAAACCCACATTGTTGAAATATAAGTATAAAAATGCTAAACAAAAAAAAAAAAACAATTACAAACATCAAATAGTACAAAGATATCAAACCTCGACAGCTGTTTCTTTCTCTGTAACTAGACCAGCATGGCAAAGCGCTAATATTTCTCATATCCGTTACCTCTCATGTGTCTGTTTGTAAGTATTTGTAGAAATTTATATTTAATTCTTTTTTTACTTCCTTATTCGATTATTCTTCAATTTAATATTTCTATAAAAGGATTTTTGTCTCAATTAAATCGAAATTGTATATTTAATGACTTAATGAACAAAAGTAGATAACACTACATGTGCGACATATCATTAATACCCCCTTCAAGCAGGATTATTTTTCTTAAAAGGACCAACATAGGCACAGTTTTTCACCGTACCAGCTGAGTACTAAATACTATTTTCCTCATAAAATTTTCAATCACAAAGTTTTAAAATAAACAAAATTACCTTAATATCCGCCAGTAATGCAAATATTAAAACTAGAGGCACTGTGAGTAGTGAGCTCACTAAATGATATACCCCGCCTCTCATTTTATAATGACAAAGTCAATGTTTTGCTCTCGGAGACCCAAAATAAGTGTCAGATCAAAAAAGTAAAATAGGAGGTACACAATAGTACAAGAACCTGTGAAAGTATGATTAAATTGTATTCAGTTGTAGATCTCTAGCAGTTGCGGATATGAACTAGGTACCCTTCAATATTATTGAAAGAATAGCAGTGTCCATGTTTTGCTAGGGGAAACCCAAAATATGTGTCGAATCAAAAAGTAAAATAAAAAGTGCACAATGGCATTATGTAACAAAGATTCACTATATAACTTCCCACTTCTTTTCAAGCGCCGGGTATAACATTACGAAGCTCACCTCGACGAATGCATCAATATAACTGATGCAAATCTCTATTATTTATTTATTTATTGTGCATCCTGAGATCAATATTCATGTAGTTTGGTTTAAGTAGGACTTATATATACATGGATATTATTGGGAATGCACCTGCTCAAAAAACTCTAACCAGGTAACAAATCAAGATGTCTTTCAAAATGTCTTCCAACAACCTATTGGAATTCCCATGGTTACGAATTGCGCCATGTTATAAGCAGAGCTAGTTTTGTATTCATATGAAGCAGAATTTGTGCAAAATCTTATGCGTGAAAAGAAGAAAATACTTGCTGTGGCCTTCAACTCGATATTTAGATATATCGACGACATATTGTCAATTAACAATTGTAATTTTCATTCTTATGTCGAAATGATATATCCTGGTGAGCTTGAGATAAGACACCACAGAGTCTGACACATCTGTTTCGTATTTGGATATTTTATTTGAAAAAGACGTAAATGGTAATCTAACAACCAAGCTCTATGATAAACGTGATGACTTTAACTTTTCTATCATCAACTTCCTTTACTTATGCAGCAATATATCTCAAAACCTGCATACGGAATTTATGTATCTCAATTGATTCGATACGCAAGAACATGCGTAGAGCATGAGCAATTTCTAAAACGAGGTAAATTATTGACAAACAAGCTGATGAAACAAGAAATATTAGCAGTCTCATTTAAAGTCATCATTTTGTAAGTTCTTTGGTCGATACAATGGCCTTGTCAGCAAATATAATTTCTCATTGGGTCAAATGCTGACTGAAGTTTTTCATATTAATTGTTAGTCATAAACTGAAACGACGACGAATTATTTTTTGTGATATCCCAATCATGACAAGGAGCACGGGGCGGGTGTGACCGGTCGGCAGGGGATCCTCACTCCTCCACGACACCTGATCCTACGTCTGATGTTTTTGAGGTCTGCGTTTGCTCTGCTCCCATTTTTTTAGTTCCAACATCCGGAGCTAGTGTCTAGAGCTACTGGAAATGAATGATGAAAAATTGTAAAGATGGGATCATGAACTGATTAATATTAAGTACCTTTACTGTATCTCACTATCCTTGGCTAAAATGTTCATAAAAAGAAATCAGAATCAAATACATGTACATGTACAGTTATATATCTAGTAGACTAAGTATTTCTTACATATTTTGATAAGCTTTGTATTTTGATCGCATACTTGAAAGATTTAAATGTCGTACTCTGTAATAAAAGGAGATGAACATACTGTAAAGTTCGTTTTAACTTTTTAAAATACATGTAGCTGGTATTATTTTTTATTTGGTGATTACGGACATTGTTGATATGATTTTCTAATTTTATATCCTCTGTCCATTTCTACTCATTTGTTTTCTCCAACTCGAATATTTTCCTTAAATCCAAAAAAAGCCTTTACACAATTAAACTCATACAACAAACTAAAAAAATCTCTAGATAATTTTAAATAAAGGTACAGTCCTTCATTGAAAGGAAAAAATACTTTGGCTAAAATGATTAAGTAGTGTAGAATAGTTGGCAATGTATGAAACTAGACGAGGAACTTTTAAAAAAGATCTAGCATTATCGTACGAATTGATTTTTTTCTTAAATACAATCATCAAATTCAAGATATATGTTTGAGTACTTTTAAAGAGGAAATTCTTGAAAAACGGTGTATTTCAGCTAATCTCAATGAAATGGGGGGGGGGGGGGGGGGGCTTTATATAATGCCTTTACGAAGACGTCTAAAATTTAAAAATTTTATGACAGCCCAGTAAATCATTTTTTTTCATACACCATCAAATGCAAATGAGGTTGAGCTGACCCCTCCAATTCTGTGACGTAAGCAGTCCAATATCTCATCCACATGTTCAATATCTCACTCAGTGTTCATTGAGTGATATATTGAACATGTCGGTGAGATATTGGACTGCTTACGTCAAAGAATTAGAGGGATCAGCTCAATCTCATTTGCATTTGATGGTGTATGACGGTGACAGAATTAACCTTACTATTGATAAACAATAAAACAAGAATTTCAATACTTTTTTAAGTAAACATTTCGCAAGTTCTGTGAACAACACAATGACCTTGTCAGCAACTACAGTCTACAATTAAGTTAAATGCTGTCTGGCGTTAGTCATAGTAATTGTTATTCCATTATTTATAAACTGAATTGTATGTATTTTTCTCAATCATAATAAGAAGCACATGATGGGTGTGACCGGTCGGCAGGGGATACCCACTCCTCATTGGCACCTAATCCTATTTGTGGTGCTTTTTGGGGTCCGTATAAGCTGTGTTTTTGATTTTTATGATGTGGATGAAGGTTTGAGCTTGGGTACTGTTCGTTATCGACAAATTTCGTCTAAATGTTGAATTGAAAGCCAGGCAAGAGACTTCATATTTTCATGTATAACTTTTTGAATGATTTCTACTTGATGTGAATGCAAAAAGGCTTGCT